ACAACTCCGTGACTGTTCTTGAATGGCCCAGCCAGAGCCCTGACTTAAACCCAATTGAGCATCTCTGGAGAGACCTGAAAATGGCTGTCCACCAACGTTTACCATCCAACCTGACAGAACTGGAGAGGATCTGCAAGGAGGAATGGCAGAGGATCCCCAAATGCAGGTGTGAAAAACTTCATCATTCCCAAAAAGACTCATGGTTGTATTAGCTCAAAAGGGTGCTTCTACTAAATACTGAGCAAAGGGTCTGAATACTTATGACCATGTGATATTTCAGTTTTTCTTTTTTAATAAGTCTGCAAAAATGTCATTGTGTTTTTCTGTCAATATGGGGTGCTGTGTGTACACTGAGGAAAAAAATGAACTTTAATGATTTTAGCATATGGCTGCAATATAACAGAGTGAAAAATTTAAGGGGGTCTGAATACTTTCTGTACCCACTGTAGGTCACCATTCTATGGGCATCATGCTCCTTTCATTCTGTTCCAGCATGCAGTCGTTTGGAATAACCCCATCCACATAAGAGAGAGTACAACCAGCTCTGTGGTCACTAACTCATGTGAAACCACTTCCTTACCATTCGTATGCCTGTGCATCATACAAAAATAGCTCATCTCTGCAGCATCAGGCTCCAAACTACCTACCCATTTATAACCGTGTTGACTCAAATACCAGTTTACATTTTCCTTTTTGAGGTTTTCTCCACCATTGGCAATAGCTTAAGAAACTATCAGAAGGAAGCGTGTTTTGATGTTGTGAAAGACTAAGATCACCAGAAGGTTTGTTACTCCTCAATACATAGGCCCATAAATGATTTTGACTGGGAGACAAAAGCACAAAACCACTGCACTGAATTAGCCATTTTTACTCTGGCACTTGCTCCTTAGACAACCAAATACAGCCAGGTCTCTGGCTGTCCAAATTACCCAACTTTCTACCATCTTAGCTAGTAAACACACTAAATTTAACTGCTAAAGCTTTCTGGACATGAGCCTTTCTCCTACATAAAATTAAATCAAATATAAAAAGGTTTTTAGACATGGAAATTTAATCATGTTTCACATGCGTGTTTTCCTGGTCTGTGCTGCTGACAAGAAACAAAGTGCAGAGAAATGATCCATGAGCCAGTTCCCATTTTAAAGCATTTATTGTAAAGGACCGGTTTATTCGTTCTCCTCGCTCCTGAGCCTGGCGTTGGGGTTGGTGATCTTGATGGCCAGCTGAGCTGCCCTCTCCACAATCACCTTCCTGTTCTTGGAGGAGACATTGTGGGCGATCTCAGCACAGTGAGTCCTACAGAGGCCAAGAGAAGGGGTAGATTACTTACAGAGGCAGCAAATGAAACTGTCAGTGTGACAGTCTGGGCTGCGATTGTGTTCAGGGTTTGATTCCACACATTAAAACAAGCCAATGTCAAATATTTATGGAAAAGAACTTCAGAATAAAAATGTTAGCAATCATAACATCATGGCAGTTATGTATAAAATAAACAGACACCTAAATGTTCATGGTATCTAAAAATGAATGAAGTCACAGGGCTGGCTCACATTAAAAAGCTACATAAAGCCTCACTAAGCCGGAGCACCGAACTTAACCCAAACATGCAACCAGTGTTAAACTCTGAGAATGACGAATTACAAAGTAATCACAGAATGTGACTGAGAAAACAAACAAAAACAAAAAAATCAGTGTAATTAAATCTGAGGTTAATCCGAATCTTGGCTAAATGAATGAAGCCTGTTCACAAAACAACTTAGTGAGCTTATTTTCATCTCAACTCTGGCTTTTCTTTAACTTAGACTGATTAGATTTTGGTTGTTATACTGCATCTAAATAGTAAAATACCCTTTCCATGCTCAACAGTAGATAATGGTTCTCAAACAAACAAAAAAGTGTCTATGTTATTATAGATCCAGTAGTTCACCTGGCTGACAATCAGTCTGCTCACTCTTGTGGTGGTTAATAGGTGGGAGTGTAAACACTGTGGGCAGGATTTTAACCATCATCTGCATTAGCTAGCCAAAACTACTACTTCAAAAGGTAAAATAAAAACATCCTTTTGAATACGACTATCCTGGACCGACTTCCAGGCACTGTCCCTCTCCATCTTCTGTTCTATTCTTTCATGATGCAGTTACAGACAATCAAAACTCTCCAAACATCAGGTGAATTTCTGTTCTATTCTTTCATCATGCAGTTACAGACTATCAAAACTCTCCAAACATCAGGTGAATCTGATTCCCTCTCTGAACTTTGCTGGACACTGTTCAAACTAAACTCCTCATTATATTAATATAGTGGGTTCAATCTATGACCAAAAGCAAAACAATCTTGCACCTTTCTTTACTCCAGTTAACATGTTGTGATCGTTGCATTAAACATCGTTGTTTGCTTTGTTTTGACCTGTGCTCTCTTCCTGCTTAACTGACAGGAAACCAAGTTGAGGTAGTTGCCACATTTGTGCTCCAACTCAGCTGTACTGGTTTCAAAAAACAGTGAAACTGAGCTCCAAAATTTCCATCCCTTCAGGTGAGGTAATTAACAATGCTGTACAAGTCTTCTGTTTATACTGCACAATGCAAGCTTTTTGGTGGGAGAGTCCAGGACTAAGAAAGCTTGGCATGAGCAATACAGCAATAGGAAAGAATTTGATTTGCAAATAAAAAACAGAACAAAGTGTCATCACTCAAAACTGTTGCTGTATCTGATCAACAAGCAGTCAAAAATTGCACAAGGTTGAAGATGTCCCACCCATTATTGTATCACCTAAGTGTCCAGCTAGGTTACTGAATGCTGTTAATTCCATGTTGCTAAACAAATAAAATTCATCAATATTCATGACTAGATTTATAAAGAAGCTGAATCTGATTTTGGTTAATCTATATCAGAAACAAAGAATCCACAATGAAATAATTGTTTGTTGCAGCACTGATTCATTTTTATAACTGAACATTACTGTGGGAAAATCACACAGCATTTATATTTTCAAAGTTACTATTTAACACTTTGAACACCACTGACAATTTTCCCATTCATCTCCATGATACTGCAGTGCCAACAAGTCTCAGTGTCTCAAAATATCAGCAAAGAAAAACCACAGGCATGCCTGGAACCAATAAATCAGTCATACACAGCAAAGTATTCTACATGATTGTGCAGTATGTGCACGCACAACTTACTTGTTACTCATCATTAGGACTTCCAGCTCCTTTACATTGTGAACCAGGAACTTCTTGAAGCCAGTTGGCAACATGTACTTGGTCTTCTTGTTGCTACCATAACCGATGTTGGGCATCAGCATTTGACCCTTGAACCGCCTGCGGACCCTGTTATCAATACCTCTTGGCTTACGCCAGTTTTTCTGTAGGAGATATGTAAAGGATGTTCAGGGATTACTCACTGCCACTTTCCAAAGCTCCAGTTTGTGCTCATCACTCTCAATATCATACATTTGGTTCACAAAAGGTAGACGCACTGGCTTCTCTAAAAGATCATTAACGACTGACGTTTGGAAAACCCAGGTTACTTGAACATTAGCAAGTGTTTTTACGTAACACTAGCACTGTTACTGGCCTCAAGCTAACTGCTCTAACAGCTAACTGTGGTGGGTCCATCAGTTCAACATTGTTGCGAGGTCTGTGGTACTCCTGGAATACTCAACACAAGTGTGTTATATTCTGCACTTTGAAAGTAGCTGCTGCTAACAACAGCACTGTTTGCTCCTGCAGCTAAGTAGGCTGTGTCTGGTGTTTTTTCCCTCCGATTGAACACAATGTCATAGCAAGGCTCATTGTGCTCCCAGTATCTGTGATGCAAGCGCTGCATATTTTGCGTACTGCAGTTGCTTTATCAAGAATCCCTTCACTGTTTTGCAGAATCTATGGCTTTAAACCAAGATGCTGCTGCATCTCCAACCCTTATATAGATTTTCCGATCTTTACATCCCTGTCTGCAGCACAATATAAAAACAGATTTTTGGCACATTTTGCAAGTTTCAAGTGTTTTCAGTCAAGGTAGCTAGTGGGTTGTAATGTTTGTTTTGATTCTGAAAAAGAGGTGCAACATGGGAAACCAAGATACAAATCTTTTAAAGGGGATACAATATCTTTTCCTTCAGATGGTTGAAGAGTCTGAGGATTCTAGAGATACCCACGGAACAATGAAGTATTTCTGAGCAACCTTCTGGGTTTTTCAAACAGATTTTTCAGAGAAAGTGACAGTTACCTGTGTTACCCAAATGCATGCCTGTACAAGGCTTAGTTTCCTTGCATACAAGTGCAGTGGCCCATGCTTGCTGAACACCTTGTACAGCAAAAACTTACCGCAATCTTGACATATCTGTCAGACTGATGGCGAATAAATTTCTTGGTTCGCTTTTTGACAATCTTGGGCTTTGTGAGGGGCCTGAGGGCTGCCATGATGACTGTGGGCAGAAAAGAAACTATGTCAGACACTAAGATTACAACTCGCACCATTATGTCAAATTCGGTGTTACAACATTGCAACATGGCGTGGCATATTTTACCGGCATTTATGGACAACGCTACCTCTGACGGACAAATCGATCACTGTGTCTGCCACTAAAGGTAATGGACCAATTATATATCCACTTGTTGGCGTGAGCCTCAAGTTAAACGTGCTAAGCGTTAGCTAACTAGCCTCCATCGCTAGGTCAATGTTTAGCTAGCTAGCCATGCTACTCTACTGCAGGCATTCCGCTCCAACAGTTTGGCCCGAAAATAAAAATCACGTCTAATATTGGTATCTCCCAGTTGTCATTACACACGCTTGTATGAAAGTCACTTTGTACTGTGGACCTTTACTGAACACAACAACACTATTTCATGGATAACGATACCAAACTGGTTGGCTGCTTGAGCAGTAGCACCTCGCTCCAGATTGACACAGAAAAAAAAAAAGATCAATACTGTTCAAGACATATGCAGCAGGTATCTATGAGGGATACACTATATCAGGATGGTCGCATAATATCTTAGAATGAACAGATTAATGAAGATTGTACCAACTCACCCGCCGATATAAATCCAAAGGGGCCTTCGGTGACGGCGGAAAGAGAGAAAAGGACTTCCGCTTGTGCTGCAAAGGCTTATGGGTACTGTATTTTATCACTATAATGCTATACTTACAGGAACTTCCACTTGTATCAAAATATGTTTAGTGAAACAGTATTAATCCCGTAGTGCTTACTGTTATTCACTAAATGTCAAGTTAAACTACATATGCATTTGTCCGTCCACCATTCACATTTTTGTTTACATGAAACAATTTGGGGTGCGCACTTCCGGAATAGTGTTGGTGGGGATTTCTGCAATTAGTTAGTTCTCTAGCTGTAGCCTGCTGTAGTGTGCGCGCTGTAAGCCGACCCATCACCACCAAAAGTGAAGTTTTATTTCTGTTAAACTTTCAGAAGAGAAGAGAAGAGAAGAGGAGTCAGCTGACCGACACTTGTTGGGCAGTGTGTGACAGAAGGTGAATGATCTATTTTGTCACATGTTGATTGGCAGTATAACTTCCTATGAGCACGTACCCTACAGCACGTTCGAACATTTGAGTGGTTTGCATTTTTCTCGTTTAGTTTTTTTTTTTATCGAGTTGAAATGGAGCATCAGCCTCTTCAAGGGTGAGTGTCGCCTGTTACTTTGTATCTGAATACAGATAAAACCACATCTTGTGTGATCTTTCACAGCCTTTCCCCAACTTTCGTTTCCCTTTAATTACAGCCACCCACACAGAAACTACGGAGTTGCCAATCCCGGTTATGCCCCAACAGCACAGCAGGGACCCGGTAAGATCTACAAACATATAATTACGCGTTTCCTCAGAATGTAAAGCCGTTTTGTTATAACATGCATCTAAAACTATTCAGTATAATTGATAAATCTTAAGTCTATAGCCCCCGTACTGGCAGTGTGTGTGCGTTTAAGGGGCGGAGCACTGACACCTTAGGTGTGACCAGGATGTGCAAAAAACCCCCTTATTACTTATAACATTTAGTTAAAATGGCACAGATTTGATTACCAGCTGCTTTTTTCACAGTTTCAAAGACTGTTTTGTTAGATTCTTATGTTTATTCAACCTGAAGTTTATCAAATGCTTAGTGGGTGGATGCATTCATGATGTAAGTGAAAATAACTGTGATTTATTCAATTCTTTTTCTGTTGACATTCTTAATTTTAATGTTTTGATATCTCCTTTATGTATAGAAAAAATATTCATCTGTTCATCCATTCCTCTCTCCATATTTTAAGATTATGTAACTTGAGATTTCTGAAACCACAGTAGCTATACTTTAGGAGCTGTGTTTGCACTTAGCTTTAGATTAAGTCTTTAATGTTTTCTTAAAGGGACAAACCCTGTCTGTAAATCTTCTCAGAATGGACAATAACATTACTGTCTACACGCTGTAGAAACATTTTGGCAACACAAGAACAGACCTGGGCTTTCTGAAAAGCTGTACACTGAAATATCAATGTTTATTTTACAAGAATCATAACATATAAACATACGCACCAGCTTATGTAACTGAAGTTGTTCGTTGTGTTTGTTTTAGTAATGTTTGCCCCACCCGAAGCTGCATCCCAGGGCCCCAGCGCTCCTCCAGCCAGTATGTTTGACAACATACCAGGTTATGAAGGAACAGTGGCAGAAGGAGGAGGTAATGTGCACCTCAGATACTCTTTAATAGTCCTGTTAGAGCCCTCTGAACTCACTTGAGATGACCATAGCTGTATGTTTGAGCTTGTTGTCATGATATACAATGCACATGGGACCAATGAGAAGCTTCCCTCGTATGACTACAATCTAATGCAATCTAGTACAACAGTTTGCTGGATCTTCTACTTTAAGAAATATTATAATAGACAGTTTTTTAAAGTTGTATATGTATATTACTGAGGATTTAGTTATTGGTTTTGTGCTTACTGTCTTTGTAAAGTGAGAATTTAAGCCTGAGCTAATAGATTTTACTGGTATGCTGGCCAATGAGTGTACACTACAGTATATGGAATAAAGCACTATGAATGATTGCCTTTATGTTTAAATAAATTAAATAGTACAAAGTAGTGATGGGCAAATGAAGCTTCATGAAGCAATGAAGCTTTTCATCCAATTGGTTCACTCCAGCGCAAAGCTTCTTGAAGCTTCATTTGCTCTAGTAGGACATCTACTGGATGCAACAATATCAGTTGGCATGAATTTGAAGTGTGTGGCATTTTGCAGAAAGCCTGTGAATAAAACTGTCAGCAAAATAAAGAAGTATGCAAAACATGTATATTGTAGTGATGGCAGTATACTGTGTATATATATATATATACTGGCAGTATGGAAAATGATTATTTGGAAATGATGAAAATGGAAATGATTATTTACAGTGAGGTGAGGGTGGTTGGGGTTGGGGTATGGACAATGATTGTGCTTTTGTAACGTTGAGGTATGGCCAGTGATTATGGTTTAGGGGACACATCATTGGTTTTTATTTAAAAACAGTTTCTCCACTGTGGCAGGTCTTAGGCGATTTCTTTTTCTCCATCAAACACCCACATTTTGAATGGAGCCTGAGGGGTTTATATCGCTGTCAAAACTCACGGCAAAATCCAAACCACTTCCTGAATCAGTCACGTGGTACAGCTGGGCAGTGAGGCTTCGGACGTCGTCATTTTCAGCTCCTCACCTAAATGACGCAAGCCTCGATACGCGCATCGCGGAAACGCCCCCTCCCCTACTCGGCACACGCTTCGAAGCCTCGCTACAGAAAGTCACATCACTAGTACAAAGTACAACTTTGTCTATCTGCTGTAGGTGGATTTCTGCCCCCTCCTATGCCAGCTTACCCAGTTCCTCAGCCTGAGCCTGGACCTCAGCAACATTGGAAGTAAGATAACTGTTTGACTTTAAAAATTCACCCTAATCACTTCCTTTTAAATGATGAAACTGTAAGACATACTGTTTCTCATTCTGTCACTGCTGGCAGTATCCCATCTATAACTGAAGATGCTGCTCGGGAAGCATTTGTCCAGTATGCCTCCAACAAGTGCTGCTACAGAACAGAACCAGCAAAGGATGGTATGATCATGAGCATGGAGCCATTCAACACATACAGGGTAAGAGGAGGTCTACTTGTGCCTGTGCTTGAAAAACACACTAGAAAGTACTGAAAATTGTGCTGGAAATTATTATCTACTCCTCCAGTGCAAGTGAGAAAGAATACATTGTCTTACACAAATGATGTATTTGTGATTTTATTATAAAGTGAGGATAAGTACAAAGTATCTCATCTGAGAGGCCAGAAGTCTAAACCCTCACATAGAGGGATCGGATTCTGACTAAGAGCCAAGTCTTCATCTATGTAAGCATAACACTCAAAGCCAGGTGGGCAGTATCTCTCATGAGAGTGCAAGGGAGTCAGGGCAAACCGGAGATGGGGTGAGGTAGCAGAATGTGCCGTATTCCTGGCCCGCCCTCATCTAGTTTCAGCGGAGATAATAGAGTCAGTACAAAAAGTATTCCGACCCTGAAAATCCTGTTTTCATTTTATCATTGTGCAGTATTGTGTGTAGATTGATGAGGAAAAAAATGAATTGAATCCATTTTAAGATGAGTCTGAAACATAACAACTTATGGAAAACTTGAAAGAGTCTGAAAACTTGAAATGGATGGTCTAAAAACTTTCCGTACTGACTGTAAGCTGTGTTTTCTATGTCTCCATTTCCCTGCACAGCATGATCATTAGTACAAACACAGATACCTCATATATGGATAAATTTGATGTCACAAAAATCTATAGAAGTAGTAGTTGGTTTGGTAGTTTCAGATGTTCAGCACATAAATGTCCATCAGACAGTGAAAGAAAATGACTGACTGTTGATTTTCCACATCCTTCTTTATTTAGTACCGGCTGGAAACCTTTACTGAATCGAGATCTACTAATTGGAGTCAAGAACCATACCATGGTATGTTATTGTTACTTTGTGCATCTTCTTTTTAGGATCTATAGCTAACAAGTGTATTTGAGATTAATCTGTTGATTGCCTTTTATATAACTTGTTCATATGATAAAATATCATTAAATAGTGAAAAATGCTCCTCAGAATTAGTCTGGCAGCTATTTAGGGTGACTCCTCAGTGACAATCTAATGTGTTATTTATTTGGATCAGGCCAGCCAGTGGATGCCTTTATCCAGCCACCTCCAGGGCCTTGGCAGGTCCCTGCTAAAGCCCCCACTTTTTTTGTGGATGTAAA